CTACTCAGCAACATATCCATCCATAAATGTCACCGTAATACTAGTCAAGGAGATCGGTTTTATCACAGAGCTGCTTCCACAAATACTTTCAACATATTTCACTGAACCTAGGGAAAAGGGATCAATATGAGGTTGCGAACACATTATGATTCAAAGTTCTCTTTCAATCTCGATATTTTATTAGTTTTCCAAGATTCGAATAGGAATGTGCCAACAAACTTGTAGACGAATCAGTTCCGAACCTTTTTTTGGCTAACCCTCCTTGTGATCTATGAAGTTTGTCCTTTACTGGCTGTGGCCTGTCACTTGAATATGGGTAGAACTAGTCGTATGAAAATTCAAATTCTGATTCATTTGAGATTTGGCAATATTCTTATCGGCCGCGACTTGTCTGTTCCGTTTGAAGCGAGCTAACAGTAATGGTTTCTAAATGGTTGTAAATAATCTGTCGCATGCAGGACTTGGAATGTAATACCTCATTGCTTTCTTGTCCGCTATGTTCAATAGGCCGGCAAGTGACCCCTTCAAGTTTCATTACGCGACACATTTTGTCTATCGTCGTTTCGTTTCAGTAGTAGTTGTGATGGTCAACAACTTCGCGAGAACATTCTCAAACTTGATATACTTACTTACTTGCAGTTTCAAATAAAGTTAACACTATGGTCGCTAGCACGGTATCTATTGTCACCTATAAGATTCGCTCGAGGAGAATTCAGTTCGAAGTACCTGAGCCATATTCTCCTAAAACTCATTGAATTGTACAACCCAGTAAAATGTTAGCTTAATACACTGTGGCCATCAGTGATCGATGAGGGATAAATGAAAACTATCAGATGGGATCACTTATATGAAAAATGTTAGTAAAAGTATATCACTATACTAAAAACTGCTTTGCAATCGGGAAACAGTAAGTGGCTATCTTCTTCTACTATCGGAATTCAAAAAGTATCGTTGATTCTCGCCCTCATTATTTCGCTCTGATCAACTTCGTTCAGCCTGTGGATTACAAATTAATCATGACCTTCTGGCTGTATGGATTTTCCCACGAGAACCAACAAATTTTGATTAGGATTCTTCGGTGTAAATTCCGCCTGGGGCTAAACATACGCTAACCAGTAGGGAGAAAAAAACTACATCTATCAAGGTACGTACGCAAAATGTGCAACCATATTCGTATGCAGTGACAAGCACAATGCGACTACGAATTCGAAACGAATCCTCGTTTTTTTTCTTTCATGGACAGATTCTGCTCCCATCCCCACCGGAAGGATGTCTAGACTCTTCCTATATGCGCTAGAATGTTTCCATGTCTTACTGAAACTGCATAGAAATAGCCATATCACCAGTTCGATACCCGAACAGAAAAAGTCTTGCTTCAACCGATCGGTGGGAGGTTTGATTGGACAACACTCGTGGAACATCTGCACCGATCGTGCCAACTGACTGATCGATCAACCAGATCGTTGTCCGAGACTATCCACGTAATGGTGCCTGCACGCAGTTGCATGTTTTCATGTGTATATGTCTATAACTATACGCATTGAAGTATATTTGCACATGGAGGCCGGCAATTAGATAGGACCCTTTATATGGAATAGCGACTTATCTCGGCGGTCAAACAAGACAGTCTATGTGAGCGCACACCCAACCAAACAATTCAGACCTGATTCTAACACCCTGATGCATGTGCTAGTCTCTGGCTGACGATTAAGATGACAAAATCACCATGGAGTTTCACATAAGGTCTGTCTCAGTACTTCATCATCTGTGAAATAGTACTGTCTAAGTTACACTAGGATAATTCATATTGTAAATGTCAAGCCAGAGATTTCCATAAAAAC